ATTGTCCTTGGAAGCGGTGTAAGCGCCACTTTCCTTGTATTTTCTAAAATATAAAGACATATGCGCGATGATTTTCATATTTTAACGTACTTTGAATTAATTAAAACTAATATTTTATTATAACCGCATCGTGTATCATATTACAAATTTCTCTACTACATGTGAGAAAAAAAACGATAAGATCGCTATTGTATATTCGAATATCAGTGATGGAATGGAAGCGTATTGTCGAAAACGTATTGTCTGTAACGTTCTGTATTGTCGTAACGTTCTGTATTGTCGAAAACGGAACAGCTTTCACGGCGAAAGTATCAATGATGCAAAGCAGCCAGATTATAGACAATTGCGCATACGCTTTACAGAGCACCATCCTCACGTGGTTTAGTTGGTGGATGCTACACACCAAAACATCGTATAACGCTTTCAATGATTCTATCCAGAACCGGTTTTGGGCTGTTAGCCGCCTGCCTGCTAGATATTTGACCGCCCTCGCCCCATTATGTGAATTACGAATAGATTTATAACTTAACCCAACCGATAAGAATTTACTGGTATGTTTTTATGATAGTTCTGTATAATTGACAAGAGTTTAAAAAATTCATTAAAATATATGATATTTTTATTCTGCTCTCCCATCTTGTATTACTTACAGATTTCAATATTAAACTAGTGATATTACGATTCAGTATGTTCCATCTGTAAGAGGATGCAGGGGAAAAGTGTACAATTCTTGTATTTTCTTAGCACAATGTTGCTGTTGAGAACATATCACACAGGCTAGCGATTCAAAATGTAATTGTGATATTAAAAATACATTTAGAGAAGTCTGCGGTTTTTACTGGCTTATCGAAGAAATACGAATGGACCCTAGACCACAGCGGTCTGCAACCTTTCTGACCTCACGGATCACTAAACTCACAATTTTGAATTCCGCTGATCACTATCATGAACTTTTTTAAACGATATAAAATCTGTAGAATAATGATTATAACAGTTCAATTTTACTATCTTAATATGAAATTCGCTTGTTTAATTATAACAAATTAATGCAACTATAAAGTTCGTTGCTGCTTGTTTGAAATAAGTTTACGGATTCTTAGCGCTTTTCCACCAAGGACGACAATCGCACTCACAATATTGTTTACCATTTATTATTTATTGATAACAGTCACTTCGTATTTGGTTTTAGATTCAAATAAAAACCCCTCAATGACTGAAAAAAGCAACTAAGCATTTTGCATTTCTTTCGAATACTTCGCGTAACCTTCTGTTGATTAATGTCGAACTTTCTCCATGGACCACCCAAATTTTCTCTCGGACCATCGGTTGCCGACCGCTGCCCTAACGCGCAATTAACCGATTACCCCTGGAAGTCGGTTTCTTACAGAAACACAGCTTCCCTGTCATCAAATGTCACGGTACGCCACTGATATATNTAGTATATCACTATTAACCAACTTCGCGTTGAATTTTCATCGATGTTAAGCCTAACAAATTTTTTTTAAAATAATAATCGTCGCTATTGTATCGTTAAAAATTATTTTATTGCTCACAAAACAAACAACCACTCATAATTAGAAAATTAAGTCTCGTTTAAATACTGGCCTCCCTTCAATGCTCGAGTCAATGTTGCCAGCTAAAACACGCAAAAATTTAACAAAACACTAATATTAAAGTAGGCAAGACATAGCCAAATATTGTAACGCCACATAGCTACTGGACATTTGAAATTTGCGATTAACGGAAGTGACGGTTAATCGGGGATCGGATAATCGATGCTCTACTGTATTTTCTAAACTATAAAGACATATGCGCGATTATTTTCATATTTTAAGTACTTTGAATCAATTAAAATTAATATTTTATTATAACCACATGTGAGGAAAAATAACGATAAGATTGCTATTGTATATTCGAATATCAATGGTGGAATGGAAGCGCTGTATTGTTGAAAACGGGACAGCTTTCACGGCGAAAGTCTGAATGGTGTAAAGCAGCTAGATTATAGACATTTGCGCATACGCTTTACAGAGCACCATCCTCACGTGGTTTAGTTGGTGGATACTACACACCAAAACATCGTATAACGCTTTCAATGATTCTATCCAAAACCGGTTCTGGGCTGTTAGCCGCCTGCCTGCTAGATATTTGGCCGCCCTCGCCCCATTATGTCAATCACGAGTAGATTTATAACTTAACCCAACCGATAGGAGTTTACTGGTATGTTTTTACGATAGTTTTGTATAGTTGACAGGAGTTTAAAAAAATCCATTAAAATATTTGATATATTTATTCCGCTTTTATTCTGCTCTCCCGTCTTGTATTACTTACAGATTTCAATGTTAAACTAGTGATATTATGATTCAGTATGTTCCATCTATAAGGGGATGCAGGGGAAAAAGTGTACAATTCTTGTATTTTCATAGCACAATGTTGCTGTTGAGAACATATCACACAGGCTAGCGATTCGGAATGTAATTGTGATATTAAAAATACATTTAGAGAAGTCTACGGTTTTTACTGGCTTATCGAAGAAATACGAATGGGCCCTAGACTACAGCGGTCTGCAACCTTTCTGACCTCATGGACCACTAAACTCACAATTTTGAATTCCGTTGACCACTATCATGAATTTTTTTAAACGATATAAAATCTGTAGAATAATGATTATAAAAGTCCAATTTTACTATCTTAATATGAAATTCGCTTGTTTAATTATAATCAATTAATGCAACCATAAGGTTCATTGCTGCTTGTTTGAAATAAATTTATGAATTCTTAGCGCTTTTCCACCAAGGACGACAATCCCACTCACAATATTGTTTATTATTCGTTATTAATTGATAACAGTCACTTCGTATTTGGTTTTAGATTGAAATAAAAACCCTCAATGAGTGAAAAAAGCAACTAAGCATTTTGCATTTCTTTCGAATACTTCGCGTAACCTTCTGTTGATTAATGTTGAACTTTCTCCATGGACCACCCAAATTTTCTCACGGACCATCGGTTGCCGACCGCTGCCCTAACGCGCAATTAACCGATTACCCCTGGAAGTCGGTTTCTTACAGAAACACAGCTTCACTGTCATCAAATGTCACGGTACGCCACTGATATATCCTATATTTAATATATAATAAACGAATTTATAAATAAAAATATGTTACTCACGTAAAGGTTCAAGAGAAGTTGTACAGCAAGCTCCAAGCTGAAATAAATTTTCTTCTTCTAAGCCAGATTCTTCGTTTTCGATTAATGATAAGATCTTTTCTTCAAGGTCTGTTAATGGAGTACTTCTTTTCCTTCCACCTGTTGTAAAGATATCCTTTCTTAAAGCAGCCACTTTACTTTTAGTTCGGGAACGCCACAGACTCTCTCTTTTTTTTTTTAATGTATCCACTTAGATCAGTAGACCATTGGCTAGACAGTTCACTTTATCTCTTACTTCTTGCCATCCGTCCCGCAAAGTATATTTGGAAACATTCCCTTCCAAGTCTCCTTTAACTAAATATGTACGCTTTTGCAACTCGATTATCAAAACTTCCATCTGTTCCGAGGATAACGTAACTCGAAACATTTTGATTACCTCGTGCCCTATGTTTTCTTATTCTGCATTTTCGAAAATTGTACAATTTCATTGGTTAAAATTCTATACCGTGTTGCGCGTGCAGATAAACAGGACATTTATAATAAACCCACTAGAATCATGACGTCACCAACAAAGGCGAGATTATCACCAATGACCATAATCGCCACTCGTTTTGACGTCATTCGTGAGCGAAAGGAGAGACGAGAGATAGATTTATCAGGCGCAAACCCACGAACAACAGACAATTACCAGTGTTGGAGCTTTACGCATTCGGCGGGCATTGGTGAGTGCAACCAAAAAAAAAATAATAATAATAATAACGTCAAATAGTTACATAATAGTAGAAGAAATTTATTATAAAATAAAATTACAAAGTTCTCTCATTTCAAATTCAATAGTAATGCAAATAAAATAAAATGTTAACATGAAAAGCTAGGATGACAACTTTTACAAAACCAATTGAAAGACAAAATAAATAATAGAATACTGAACTAAAAACAAAACACAGGTTTTAACATAGAAGCAAATTACATTAACAGAACAATTGTATTATGATTTCGTTAAAAAGTTTGTTGCCTGTACATTATATTCACAAGAAATATAACAAGCTCTCAACTGAAATTATAAGTTTCTTATTACAAATTGAAAAATCTAAAATCGATAAATTCTGTTGCTTGTCTTTTGCTTACAAAATCAATTTTGGTCACATTTTATGGTTACTATTATTAAAATATAGTGTTGGAGTGCACAGAGATAAATCTTGTGCATGAAAACTTTACATCAGGTACACTAAATGTTGTCAGAATCAATATAGTTTTATTAATTAAAATCGTTATGAACGCAACTTTCGATTATTAAACTAAAGATACGAATATTAAATTAAATAAATAAAAAATTTACAAACTAAAACTCTCATTTTTACACTCTACTTCCACTTGACAGTTGTTTGAAATGCAAACAAATTTATTCTTCTTCCAAATGAATTATTCATTACTGAAAGATTTTTTTACAAATATCAAAAATGATAAGGAATAAGGAAATTTGTAAAAAGACTTTTTGATATTTTCTCAAATAACATAAGAACTGAGAATAATTTCTGATTCACACAATATGGAAACATGTATTGTGGTAATATCAGAATACATTCTTATTGCGAAATTGGTTGAAATTAAATATATGTATGTATATATAATTATGAGTATTATACATCGTTTGTTCTTTCATAAAATCAGATAAGTTACAACGAAATATTATTTTAAATGTAAACATTTTATGCAAAATTTTCTCTGTAACCATCTACCACTTTCAGAGACATGAAAAATATCACATTTCTTTCTTTGAAGTTCTTCTCCCAAACATGTGAAATACCTAAATTTAATTTTGAATGAGGAAAATGGGGAATATAATTTTCCTTCTATTCAAAGTGTTTGCTCTTCATATGATTTTTCAGATCACGTTCAATTTTAAATCTATCGTCACAAATGGAGCAACGGAAAGGCCTTTTATTATTATTATGGTGAATAGCATTGTGTACATTTAGACGACATTGAAATTCAAATCCTTTCTTGCAGATATTACAAAAATGATGAAATTCTTTACATTTTTCTTTCTGATGAAATTCTAAACCTTTTTCAAGTTTAAATTTCTTTCTGCAAATATTGCACTCGAACGGGAATATTTCAATGTGACATTTTTGATGTCTGTATAAACTACAGTGGTGTTTAAAACTTTTCTCACAAATATTGCAACGATGAAGTTTTTCTGCGGTGTGAGATGTTAAATGCATCCTTAGAGCATCTTTATATTTATATTTATTTTCACAAATGGCGCAAGAGTATGGTGTTTTGTCAGAATGTATGAGTTGATGTTTCTTATACCCACGTTTAGTTACGAAATCTTTTTTGCAAATTTCACACTTAAAAGGCTTCTTGTAAAAATGATATTTACAATGTAATATAAAAAGCTTTGTCCTTCTATAACTCTTACCACAAAGGTTACACGTGTGAATCCTGAGAGGTTTCTTCCTCCTCGTCCTCTTCTTCTTGCGCTTCTTTGAGCAACTTTCCTGGAGATTTTCTGACTGTATCGTAGATGAATTAAGAGGTTTCGTTACTTCTTTATGTCGAATGCCATGTTTCGTTTCGTGCTTCTTCCATGTATCTTCTGAGAAAAATGGTTGTTTGCAGATACGACAGGAAAATGGTATCCTCCTAATGTGCATGAAAAGATGACGCTTCAAAACAATATTGTTTGTAAAATATCTAAGACACATTGTACACTGATACTTTCTTTCATTTATATACTTTTTACAAATATATTTCTCTGTATGAGATACTGCGGAAAGTTTTTTTCTAGTAGAGGTAAGTCTGTATTTATTCAAGCTTTCTCTCCTCTTATAAGCATTATCAACATTGGATGAAAAATAATCAGAATCATAACATCCTGTAAAAATTAAAATTATTATATAATAATTTTTATAAATCGAACATTTTCTTAAATACAATATTTTGTAATTTTCCTTAAAATTATATAAATTTTTTAATAATAAAATCTCAACAGATGACGCCACACTGTATTGTTATTAATAGTATACAAGTTATTTTTTAAGTAAAAGCTAATAAAAGCCGGAAAAGTTAAGCAACTCGTCGCTAGATTTTTTTTAAATATAAAAGAATGTAGATTTTTAACGCCATGTTTATTCGTAAGTGAACTATTAACTCAAGAAGATTAAGAATTACATATCTAAACCATGGGTAGGGAACATGTAGCCATTTATGTTTTCAATTATGACCTGATAAAATATCAAATCATAAATTTATAAGTTAAATTAAGGATTATAAAAATATCGTTTGTTTTTTCAGTAAAATCATCTATTACAATTTATGTATATTTTTAATGCACATATACTGAAATATATGAAACCATATAAGAGCCCTCTAAATTAAGACGTGGCTTTCCTTTCAAAAATTAATTAATTAGATTATATTGACGGGCTAAGACAATAAAACTGATAGAGAGCTGCTAAGGGTGAATGCCTTCTGGAAGGATTTTCAATAAGAATTTGGACATATTAAGGTGTTGATATAAAAAACTCCAAATACCAGTCTGTTGGTGAGGAGACAACCCATAACTAATTACTAGTGTTCAGCGATTTTACTCACTCGGCCACTGGTGGGCCCAATTAAAAACAGTTCGCCACCTTTGACCTAAGTAATTAAGCTGCAATTTGAAAAAAACTATAACCTATAAATTCCTCCAATGTTGTACACTGTCTGTTTGTCGTTCTCTAATCTCGAGAGCAGATATGGAATGCTTAGGGGCAAGAAGCCCCGATAAATTATACATAAACTTCCAATTCGAACCGAAAGTCACGTTATTTCAATTCAAATATTTCCCCTGAAGGCAGTTAGATAGATAACCCGCAAGACTCTACTGCTAAGAGAAAAGTATGATGTACAGGGACAAGACACTACTGATTTGAGGAAGAGAGCATATATTTTAAATTAAATAAATTAAAATAAAACTTACTTTTTTCGTAATCTTTAAAGGGTTGATTCTCATCATCTTTTACTGCACGGAGTCTTATGATACAAACCTGCATTTGGAAAAGAAAATATTAATGTTGAATATTTTTAAAAGGTAAATTGAACTATTACTACTTTATAAAGCAAAATATTAGTTTAAAAAATAATTATTATTGGATGAATTTTACCAACTTGTAACTCAGTCTCACAAAAGTTTCATGTAGTTTATCTGGAAGTCTGTCAGTCAGAAAAATAAGTAATTATTTCTGTAAAATTTTGAAATTATTAGATTCTTACATAAAAAGTATACGATTTGAACCTTTGGAGTAATCATATACAGTATTTTCGTTTTTATAAATGAACATTTAAACTCATATTCTCGATTACTTTTAAAGAATTATTCAATCTAACATGTAAGACTTTGAAACTTCATCTAATTATAAAATATTGGTGATCTGTACTGATAAGGTATGAAGATTATATTGTGTAAACATCTTGTATGAAAATGTAAATATATTTTCTATACAATGCTTTGTTTGTTTTAAAAAGCGTTGTGAATTAAAAAAGTACAATAAATAAATTATAATACCCCTTAGTGATACTTAAGTCTAGAACATCGAAATTATTGTTTGTAAGTATATCTGATTTAATAAGGCCAAGGTTACCGTTGCTGTTGAGCTTTAAGTGTAAATTATATTCTAACTCAATTATATTACATCTAGAAGACACACTTCAAACAAGCATTATTAAGTACTGGAATGTAGTGTGTAAGATGAAGTTTAGTCTACATAAGTGCACAGAAATACTGTGCTTTATGACAATTATGAAAGGATGAGGCATCAAATAGCCAAAGCCATTGCCATTTGGTGCCACCTCCAGGAAAGTGTTTTTTACTCACTTCCCCGTTTGGATGTCAGATGATAATCGGCATTATCCAGCTCCCAACACTGGGTCTGGTCGAAGTCATAATAAGCACGGGAAAACTGTTTTGCTAATGGCGCTAGATGGATGATTATTACTGTCGAAAAATACACTATTTATTTTTGTTAATATTTAAACATGTTTATGTGTAGGATATGTACTTTAAGCAAAAAATTAATAGTTTTAAATGAAATTCGTAAGCTTTATCAGCAATATAATCTATACAAAAATCACTGTCTAGTTTATTTTATATACAATTTTTCCCTAAAAAGTAACTTGTAGTGGAGTGGATTAGCACATTTATTTGCTCATAAACTAATCGCAATGTTAAAAAATGAGACTTTGTAAATAGGAGCAGACTTTCATTTGTTAAATCACTTTTTAACTGAAGGTTCCCACCCAAGACATTCAGATTTATCTGAGGGATGGCTTACACGAAAATCAATGGATAATTTTATTTTTATGTTTAAACTTGATTAGATTAAAACTTGCAGGTAAGCCCGGCGTTGCCCGAGCAAAAAATAAGTACAAACATTAAGGTCATTACATTATTTTGTACTTCCACCTTTCTATTATATTATAGTATTTGATTTATATAACTACAAACGTTATCTTACGTAAAGGATTATCAAATTTCACGAAAAATGGACCAAATATTTAAACTCGGCACCCTCGAAAACCACTTAAACCATATTTTGTGTTCGTCGGTAGCCTGGTATTGTGTAATTTTCCTATTCGAATGCCACCACACCGGTGGGTCCGATAGGAAATGACTGTTGTAGAGATTGAAGTTAATTCGACGAAAAGTAGATGTTGTCCTCCTCCCAGGAGAGAAGACGATCAACGACTACTAATTAACACTGGTCTACTATTAATTAATATTTGAAAAGTGATCCGGGTTGTAATGGCCTCGCATGTAATCGAAGTTGCTAAAAGAAAAGAAAACTTTTGAAAGTTGTGGAATAAGCATACTGAAAGCAGATTTGACAGTAATACTCAACATGTGAATAAAATGCGCAATACACAATATATAACTACAGGAAATTTGAGGAAGCAATCACAATAAATAAGAAAAATAAATACCGGCACAGAGACTTTGAGCTTTACTTTGTGCCTTAAAATTGTTGCACGTATTGTACTGTACATTAATTTTGCTGAACGTTAGATCAACTTAAGCATATCAGTGAAAGGAGTTTGGGGCAATAGGTTCATGAGTTACTAAGAGAAGATTAAATCAGGGGAAGAACGGGATGTCCAGATTCCCTGGTAGTTAAGCATGTCCCCATAAATATCACGTTTATAGAAATTATTAGAATTGGTTTGGTTTATTTCGTTACGGCAACGCGACACGAGCGATTTGTCAAGGAGAATACATCCGGAGAGTTTTATAAAGCTGGCTCCAATTTAAGTGTTACTAACGCGAAAAAAACTATGTGGCAGATCCGTTAACCCACACCCTCCGGTAACAGAGTTTTATCCACTCGGTTACCAGAGGGTGGTTATCGGGCTGCAATTTGAAAACATTGTAATCTCTAAATTCCCACCGTCGTCCGTCTGCTCTCTCCTTCCTTAATCTCTAGAAAGTTAGATAGATAAAAGTCAAAATCAGACATGGAAAACGTAAAAGAGGACTAGATTAACTATACATGAACTTCTCGATTTGTATCGCAATTAAAAATTTTTCCCTGAACGGAGTTAGTTACATAACCGGTATGACTGTACTGATAACAGGAAAAGTATGATGTACGGGGGCAAAACTCTGCTACACTGCATGCAGGCAAGTGCTGTGCTACCTGTCTCAGTAATATAGCGCCAAATAAACGCGCTGTATCATTATCGTAGTGATTCAGTAATTATACATATAGTGGTACTTCGGTATACAATTGCTTTAGAAAACGTCCTGTTTGGACGAAATAAATTTTGCTCGGTATACGACTTAATTCGATTATACGTGTCATCTATGAACAAGTAGCACTATCGGTATACTTACAGTGACCATACGTCCTTTATTTAAGAGGACAGTCCTTTATTTCACTGCTCTGTCCTTTAACTTTATTTATTTTCTAAAATAAGCATTTTGTCCTTTATTTTGTAAAGTTGATGCAAAGTTTAAAGAAATTTTTTTTAATAATATATTGAACAAGTTAGTTTTGTATACGCCATCACGACCAGTGTTGCATTGCTACATAGAGCGCAGTAGTGCAGTGTGTCGCCAACCAAACGGCCCACTGACAGTACCAGGGGGTGGACACTCTTATGGGGATTTTTGTGATAGTTTTTTAACTCTCTAGTTGGTGGATGATACACTTGTTAATTAAAGCTGAAGTTAGTTGAAAGAAAAAATGAGGGGTTTCTTCCTATTGTTATTAGAAAAGTGGTCTTAGCATTAGAAAAATCAGAAAATATACAAGCCAAAAAATTCAATGATGCTGTGTACACATTTTATCAAACGTGCATAGATTATCTAAATAATTGGGACATGTTTTTTATTGAAATAGAGGTGTTTGAATGGGTCACATTATGCGAAATCCCTTTGTGGGCGAAGGTAGAGGAAAGCTATATCTTTATTTCGAATCATTGGTCCGTAAATATACTCGATGGTGAATTATTTGAAGTTTCATGTGTAAAAAAATATGTCACAAACGAAAAGATCGAAGGATGGTGACAGAATAACCAGCCATCAAAGGTGGATTGAGATTTTTGAACATTTTACAGCAAAAGAAATTGTTTTCAAAAACATTGTAAAATCGTAGAATTTTCTTTGTCTCCCTGGATCTAATGCTCCCGTTGAACGAATATTTTCATTGGTGAATAATAGGTGGACGAATGAAAAAAACTGATTTAAAAGTAAGCAAATTAGAAGCATGTATTTCCATCAAATACAACTTTCAAATGAACTGTATGGAATTTTGTAACTTTAAACGGTGAAACGGCGCTATAAAAAAAATTAATTCTACTGAAAAGTATCAAAATTAATGTTAATTAAATTTTTACAATGCGTGTATGTGTAATAATTTATATTGTTTAAAATTTTAATGTATGCTACTATTTTCGTAATAAATGTTATAAACTTATGAGATATTTTTTGATTTTCTTCGATATGTCCTTTATTTTCCCCCAAAAAATATGGTCACTGTAGGTATACTAGACCAGACTAGACGTTCGCGGTGCCACAGTTTATAACTTTGTTAAATTTCTCCTGATTTTAATTTGTAAGTAAAATTTTATTATTTTTATTAATCATGAATTGCAAAAAGACAAGTGAAAAGCAACAGAAAACTAAAAAAATGACTAGAATCACAATGGAACTGAAAAATGAGATTGTTGAGGAATGAAGGTGGAATGCGTGTTCGAGATTTAACTGTTGCATGCCGTATTCCGAGAACGACGATATCGACAATCGTGAAAAATAGACATTATTAAATCTGCTAACGTTGCGAAAGGAGTTAAATCAATTTCTAAACAGAGATCGAAGACATTAGACATGTTGAGAAATTGCTTTTGCTTTGGATAACTGAAAAAGTGTGCTGGCGACATCGTATCGAAAGCAATTATTTGCGAGAAAGCTAAAAAGATACATGCTGATCTCATGAAAAATCAAGCAGGAGCTAGCCAGGAAAGCGAAGTGTTTAAAGCCAACCATTTTTTTCACGAGAACGGATTAATTATTTTTACATTACTTCTTATGGGAAAGGTTGGTTTGGTATACGTCCTATTCGGTATAAGTCCAAACATTAGGAACGGATTAAGGTCTTATACCGAGGTTCCACTGTATATATATATAGATTATTTAAATTACATTTTTTTGTAATTATATTTAATTATTTTGTTAAATTTTTTCCAATACTAGCACAACATGTAAAGCCAGCAGTCGAATGTCGACAGAAATTAATTGATATATAGAAATCCAATCGATAATTTCGTGTGCGATGTACTGTACTGTACATTATCCAAGTTAGAATTTGAATGTAATTGCCGAGTTTCGTAGCAATTGGTCGAACGGACTAAGCATGTATAACGAATAAACATTCTCATTTATATATATTGAGGTTCAGTTTAAGAAATTTCCATTTATAATTAATTTAACAAAAAAAGAAAATACAGTACATGTACTAGGCGTTCAGTTTCTAGGGTCAGAGTCCACTTCCTA